TAACAACCTTCTACCTGCTCAGCTCCTTTCTGCCCAGCCTGCCGCCCACCGCCCACCCCGTTTGGCCTCCGGGATGCCCCCTCCCAAAGAGTGAGCCTCCCCCACTGCCTTCCATAGCCCTGATGGCTGAGAATTGGTAAGAAGACTTCCAAGGGGTGCTTGGGCTGCTGACCTCTCCGTCCTTCCTTTCACCTCTGACATCCTGGGGGGGTGGTGGTTGGCAGAAGATTTCGTTACTTTACAATTAAAATCTCCATGTGAAGGGTGTAGAAGCTCAGAGGTTTGAATCCATGTGTGCACATTCGATATGATCTTTTTCTGAAGTTGTTTTATATAAAGGGTGAAGGTTCTGGGGACCTTGATTTCTTCCCCCTAGAACAAATGTCCCCACACTTCATTCTCTCCCTGAGTGGGTCTGGACTCTGGCCCTGAGTCAGAAGAGATATCTCCCTGGGCTTGGGGACATAGGCTTGGGCACTTATATAATTTCGTTGTACACAGCAGTGCTTTTGTCTGATCTCCAGGGTTACCTGAAGGCTCCGTGGGTAACTCACCTCGATCTACTGGTCAGATTCACACAGGGACACATGTGTTCCCCAAGTCACAGTGCCTTCATCCCTGCACCCCTTCTACCATGAAATAAGCATCACACTGATGCACACTGTCCCCGCGGTTGGGGGTAAGATCCACAGTAAAGGGTTTCACAGTCAGATTGAAAAAGTCACAAAATTTCATAACCTCCCCTGGATCAGTTTGAGGCATTTCCTTTGCCCTCCAGAGAAAAATTTTAGAAGTGGTAAGAGAATTCAGATCTAAGTCACATGTGTTTGAGGAAACGATACATATTTTTCTTGACTATCAAATCAACAAACAGATTTTCAAGTGAAGTTTCCAAATCCGTTCATATATATTTTTAAAGATTTATTTATTTATGCATACAAGAACTGGGGTACAGGCCAGAGATGTTGGGGGCGAGAGGATTCACCAGAGAGAAAGCGGGGAGCAGAACAGACAGAGGGACCGAAAACACTGCTGAGGGGAGCAGCGGGGCAAGTCAGGAGGGGTCTGCCTCGCCATGAGGGTTTCTCCCTGGCCGGCTGGGGATCGAACTTGTGCTGTAGAGGCTGCGGATTGCTTCATAGCATGGCGCTTAACCCCTTGCGCCACCCGGGAGGCCCAAATCCGTTCACATTTTATAGCCACAATTCAGGCACACCAACGCTCAAGTTTTGGGCCCTTTCCATAGGTGTGTGGCGGTTATAAAAATGTGCACACAAGTTTTTGGCTCATAGATCTTTTTCTATGAGCAGAATAATAAATCCACACCACTCACAGTGGTTGTACAGGCATCAACCTATGCACCATTAGATCTAATATATGAACACCCAAGCACATCCAACATTATAGTTGAGTAGATGTGTTTATTACATGATCTTTACACAGCACAGAGCACAGAACATCTACACCCTAAGTTCCCTATAAAAAATATTGGTTTAAAATATCATGCAGAATACACACTTCTATACTGACACAGCATGCATACATGTCAACTTAGCTTATTAATTAAAAACAATACTATTGTTTTTCATAACTTTTCCTCCTCTCTTTCCTTTCCTTCCCTCTGTTTAGATTTTCTCTCTCCTCTTCTTATTCAGTGACCCTTCCAAAATCCGCCCCTAAATGTAGGTACTTACCTAGTGGCCAGTCGTGGCCAGAGTTGGCCTCTGCTCTCCCCGCCTCTGCTCTGGGCCCCAGGGTGGCCCAGGGACTGCAGTTATTCCCTGCCAGCCCTTCCCTGAGCCATCAGCTACTGGCCTCAGCTGTGTTCAGCATCGGCTCTGTGTAGGGAATGGCAAGAGGCTTTGATAGAAGGCAGGGTTTTCCTTCTTTCTCTTTAGGACTGGGGGTGGGGAGGGGAGAAGTTTTGCTGTGAGGACAAAACTGACCCCCACTATTAGAAGCAACCCCTCTATTAGATAGCACTTTTAGAATCTAGATCCCAAGGGCCCCAATATTATTTGCCCCCCCCCCGCCATGGTGGGTACCATTTTCTGGAAAAGAAGGTTGGGGGGATTCCAAAGGTCTTCAGAGCACCCACACAAGGGGTTCCCTGTCCACCGACTGACTCTTTAATCATTTACTTGAGCTGGCATTGAGCTCCAATTTGGAGAGCAAAGTTTTCTAGAAAGCCTGGTTGGGGTGGGACCCATTGGATGGTACATCTGCATCCCCACTTGGAAGGAAATAGTTGGGGTACAGACAGTACAGACTCCAGGGCTTGGGGGCTAGTTCATTCTTTTCCCTCCAGAATCCCCTCTCCTGAGGAGTTTGAAAACTCCCAAATCTTTCATTTGAAATTGTTCCCACTCTCCAACCTCTTTGTGAGCAAAGGGTAAGCTCTGGTCTCAGAAAAGAGGCCTGAGTGTCCTCCTGACTCAACATCCAGGCTCCGCAGGGGTTCAGAGCAACTCCCCAGACAGCATCCCGCAAACCTGAACCCTGTGTACTGGGGCACTTCGTCTTTTAGGATTCAAGCCATGAGCCCAAATGTTCTTCTTACTCATCTTCCCTAAACTAAGTGACCCTTTTGACTTTCTTTTTGCAAATAGAGAGGCAGCAGGCATAGCCAAGATCTTAAGAATGAGACCCAGAGGGCTGTTGCAGCCTGGGTGTTAAGAACAGCCCAGCGCTGTGACTTTTCCATAAATAAAAAAAGTCCCAGCCCCCAGTCCACATGTCCTTTTTGGCCCTAATTTATATACTAGAGAAAGTCATATACTCAGCCCGCCGTGCTTCATAATGCCATTATTTATGGCAGGAGAGGAGTGGTTTGTGGTTTTTTTTTTTTCCTGGAGAATATATTTATTACAGGTAAAGCCGACAGCAGACTCCATACGTCTGGCAAATCGAGAACAGGTGCTTTGCCTTAACTGTGATTCATTCACTCCGCGCCCAGCTTTCTTGCTGGTGAGTCAGGGGAGCTCCCTCGACTTTCCCGAGCGACCAACTGCTACTTAGCAGAATTTGCATCATCGGATATTTGTTTCCCCACTTGGGTCCCCTGGAAAAAGCAGGTCTTCACGCTGTTTGGTTCCGGATCTGCCGGGCTGTTGCCCTCGCAGAGCTGGGGTGCCGAGGGAGGGGGCCGGCTGGGTGGCGGCATTGATCTTTAAAAAATCATTTTAAAATCGCCATAATGTGAAGAAATATGGCGCTTCGCCCTCGTATTTCACATGTAATGACACGAGATGGCTTCATTTGGAAAGAAAAGCGGGCAGGAGTGCGTGTGTGCGTCTGCGGAGGTGATCCGCAGCTTCCTGCATGGAAGAGGGGTACGTGGCCAAAAAGATAAAACCTCACATTAGGATGGCTGTGCATTTGTGAAAAGGATGGGCTGGGGGCAGCTTATTTTATAGGGGCCTGGGGGTGGGGGTAGGGGGATGCCAAGAAAAATCTGCCCTACCCTTCCCCTAAATGCAGCCAGAGGAGAGTGAGTTCTGTCCTGGGCCCAGCCTCCCTATGCGCCCCACACCAGAGGAAGCGGCTGCACCCTGGGCAGAAGCTGGAGGGAAAAGGCTGGGAGACGAGCCAGGAAGCCAGCCGGTGGGCCCCGGGGAGTCCCAGTGCTGGGCCGCCTGAGTAGATACCAATAAAACCGGCTATTTGGAAGCTCCAGCGAGCTAGTGAGTCCGCAGGAGGGAAGGCCATGGGAGGGCGGGAGACTGACCCCAGGGGCTCATGCTGTATCTGCTGGTGCCCAACTCCGGGTATTTGGGAATCTCTCTAAGCTGCAATGCCGAGTGTGGGGAGGCTGCCTGAGTGGAAGGGAAGGCTCTGACTTGGCGTTTTCCTCAATGGGAGGAAGGGGCGATAACTCTGTGCTTCTTTCCACACCTCTGCTCTGCTGAGACCTTGGGGAAGCTCCCTTAACCATTTCTCACATTCAGCGCCTCCATCTAGGCAATTTTAAGGGCCTGGGTTGTTATATAGTGAAGAAAAGACTCTGTCCCCCCCCCCCAGTACTTCTCTCAGGCCAGGGCCTGAGAAGCCCCAGAAATTTAAAGGACCTTTGCTAGTTGTATTAAACTCTTTCAGAGGCTCAAGTTTCCAAGGCCTTATGAATCCTTTTAACCTCACGCAGGTTCTAATTTTAGGACAGGATCCTTGGACAATCACTCCCTTTCATTCCCTCATCTCCTCCCTCAGCTCCTGAGGGGGTCAGGAGAAGCTCCCAGGCCTGTAAACCTCCAGAAATAGGCACAGAGAGCCCCCTCTGAAGCCGATTGCGTCCTATAAAGCCCCAGCTGCCCCCCCTCCATCTCCAGTGAATTGCTGCCGCGCTGTTTAATAAACATCTTGTGTCAAGGGACAGAGAAGAGGAAACAGGGCCTACCCGGGGGAGTGCAGGTGTGTTTGGGGGTGGGGGTGACAGGACCCCTTCCTCTTTAATTACGTGGTGGGGTCTCTGTGGGTGCTCCCCACGCTGGGGCTCTCTCCCTCGACCCTGCTCTGCCTCTCTCCCTTCCTGACCCGCCTGGGGAGAGGGCTCCACAGCCTGCGTCCCTCTCGAGGCAGCCCGCTGCTTTCCTCCGCCTCTCCTCCGCCCTGCCGCCCCATGTCGAGGACTCCCCCCCCCTCTGCAAAAAGGGGTGGGGGGGAGCGGGTGGGCGGCCGGCAGCTCCGGCTGAGGTTACGTGGCCGCCGGAGCCCTGACGTGATAGCACATTGCATCAGCATAAAACAATCCATCCTCGATATGGAATGCGGTGCGGACGGATGACAGCGAGAGCGCAGCCCCCTCGCCCGATTGATTTATGTCCGAGCTGACGCTTTATCAGGCAGTCGGAAAAACTTTGACCAATCATTTTGCAAGGAGCGCTGAGCCGGGCTGCTCCACTGTACTTTGTTGGCTGAGAAGTTGAGCAGGGGGTGGGGGTGGGAGGGTGGGGGGCTGGGGGGGTCGCGTCCGAAAGCCCTCACACCGGTCTGGGTGCCACCTCTCCCTGCTTGGGCGCCGCCGCGCGAGCGCTTCCCTTCCCCCTGCGAGCGCCCGGATAATGTCTGAGAATGTCCATTTCTGGGACGCTTAGCAGCTATTATGTCGACTCGATCATAAGTCACGAGAGTGAGGACGCGCCTCCAGCCAAGTTTCCTTCCGGCCAGTACGCGAGCCCCCGGCAGCCGGGCCACGCGGAGCACCTGGAGTTCCCCTCGTGCAGCTTCCAGCCCAAGGCGCCGGTGTTCGGCGCGTCCTGGGCGCCGCTCAGCCCGCACGCGTCCGGGAGCCTGCCTTCGGTCTACCACCCCTACCTCCAGCCCCAGGGCGTCCCGCCGGCCGAGAGCAGGTACCTCCGCACCTGGCTGGAGCCGGCGCCGCGCGGCGAAGCTGCCCCGGGGCAGGGCCAGGCGGCGGTGAAGGCGGAGCCGCTGCTGGGCGCGCCTGGGGAGCTGCTCAAACAGGGCTCGCCCGAGTACAGTTTGGAAACTTCGGCGGGCAGGGAGGCCGTCCTGTCTAATCAAAGACCCGGCTACGGGGACAATAAAATTTGCGAAGGAAGCGAGGACAAAGAGAGGCCGGATCAAAGTAAGTTATAAAAAGTGAGGAAATCCCCAGGCCGAAGGCCAGGCGAGGGGGAGGGGAGAGGCAATAAACCGCGGACAATGTGAAGGGAAACCGCGGCGGGGCCGGGGGCCGAGCGGGGGCGGAGGGGAGAGGGAGCCCGGGCGGAAGGAGGCCGAGGGTCCCAGAAGGGGAGACTGAGGCCGCTGGAGCTGCGCCGCCGCGGCGCTCCCCAGCCCTGGAGGGAAGTGGGGCGCGCTCGCCGCGCCCCGGGCTCCCTTCCCCCACTCTCCCGCAGGCCCGGGGCCGGCAGCCCGAGAGCGGCGGGCGGGAGCGGCGGAGAGAGGAGCCGGCCGCGCCGAGGCCGGCAGCCCGAGAGGCGGAAAGCCCGGCGCGGCCAAGGGCCGGGGCACCCGGGGCTGCGGGGGCCGGGCGGCTGGCAGCCTCCCCGCGCCACGCGCAGACCGTAAACGCCGGCCAGGGGGAGGTGGGAGGGGGCTCATTAGGATTTTATTTGCGATGCAACAGCTTGGCGGAGGATGGTTCCTAGCAGACCTCGCGCAGGAGCCGCTCCGGGTCCTCGGCCGCCGCCGGGAGGGGCGGGGAAGCCCGGGACCCGCGGACGGAGCCCCCTCCCCGGGGGCGCCGGCCCCTCCCCGGCAGCCTTCCCTCCGGCCGCCCCCGCCCCTCGCTGGCAGCCCGGTTCGGCGCGGCGCTTGCTTTCCCTGCGGCCCCGGCTGCTCTCCGCCGGCTCCCGAGCGCTAGCCAGAGTTGTCCGCCTCGCGGGGAGTCGGGGAATCGCTGCCCAACTTCGGGGCTGACCGCCGGAGTGCAGGGGAGAGATCCCGAAGGGACCCTGGGGAGAGCGAGGGTGGGGGGAGAGACTTGCGGAGAGGCGGAGAACTTTACCCTTCCAGGCGGTTGGTTTCTCACCACCTCCCACTCCTGCAAAAGCGCCCCCCGCCAAGTCTGGCTAATTTCCAGGAGGTGCTGCTCCCCGGGGGGTGAGAGGTGGGTGGGGGGAGTCTCGGTTTTTCCGTGTTTTGAAGGTTGAGAAGGGCAAATTGGTTGGGGACCCCTGAACCCCAAACAAAACCCCAGCCAGCAGGCTGGCCGAGACAAGTCCTCGGACCAGTTGGCACGCCCTTGCTTGCCAGGGGTGGAGCGCCGCCCCGCTCCCCTCAGGTCCCAGCCGGCTCCCACCACCCCCCAACCTGCCAGTCTGAATCACAGGAGTGGCCCTTTGGGTTACACACGCTCTCCCCAAACCCTCCCTGTTCACACCCAGACAGACCCCTCACCCCCAAACCCCAAACTGCCTGGAAAGCCCATTATTGCAGACAGTGGCTTGGCTAGGATCAATTATTAACAGTTTTTTCCCTCTTTCATATTTAATGTGGCTACGGGTCCCCTCCCAGGCAATCACATTAAGGAAATAGCGCTGCAAATTGGTAAGACACGGTACTTAGTGTAGGATGAACCAGATTTTTTTTTTTTTAATATTCAATGCTTTTCATTTTGGGAGAAGTCTAGCAGAGGGTGGCTGTTATTTTCAATTGGTTCTGCTTTATTTGGCAACTTTTCTGAGTTCCAGAGTAAGGAGCGAGAGAGGGTAAGCAGAAAAGAAGCCTGTGTGTATTTTTCTTTCTCCCCCTCCTTCCACTCAATTACCCCTTCCTCTGTCCTTCTCACATGGAGGCCACTGGAGTTAGGTGTTCTGTGAAGAGCTTGCTGTTACCCCCATGTCATCCACGGCTCCCCACCTTGGGACTGGAGTAATCCTGCTTCCCAGTCTCCCTGAACTTGCTTTAACCAAACTGTGAGCTGAACAGCAGCGGAAAAGGCGAGATTGCAACCATAAGTTATCTGTGAGCCCCTGGCGCTCCCTTGTCCACAGGCTGGAGTTGATAAATGGTTGCAATAGGGTTGCATGTGAATTGGAGTGTACTGGATGCTTGTGACTCTAAGTGCGGACCCATAATTTCGGTGTGTGGCGCATGATATCAACGTGGACACACAGGCCCTTTGCATGTGGCCAAGAGATGCAAGCTTGTGAGCAAGGCAGGGTGCTCTCAGACTGGACTGGAGGCCAGGAGGTCGCTCGGCTGGGGCTGAAGGGAAGCTGCTCTCTCCCAGCCCACCTCCCAGCCCTTCAGGTCAGACACCTCTAGCCTGGTGGCAGTGCTGGTGGTGGCTGGGCCAGTTAGCACCCAAGTGAAGAAGGTTAGAGAGAACCTGAGGCAGGCACGCTTGGGATGTGCTGGGAGCCCTGGGCGCATATTTGGTTCCATCTTGTCCAAACAACCTCTCACCTGGAGGTGTCTGGAGCAACTACTGGCCCTCTCTGGTCTTCTTTCTGGGAACTTGAAGACCCAAGTGTCTTTTTTCTGCCATGCAAGATGGGGAGTGGAGCGCAGGGGTGTGCCCTCTTGGAAGGAGAACACTGGGGCCCTTCTTCTCCCCTTCCCTTCTTTGATTCTATCGCTGCTTCTCTTTCAGCCAATCCCTCCGCCAACTGGCTGCACGCTCGCTCTTCCCGGAAAAAGCGCTGTCCCTACACCAAATACCAGACGCTGGAGCTAGAGAAGGAGTTTCTGTTCAATATGTACCTCACCAGGGACCGTAGGCACGAAGTGGCCAGACTCCTCAATCTGAGTGAGAGACAAGTCAAAATTTGGTTTCAGAACCGGCGGATGAAAATGAAGAAAATGAATAAGGAACAGGGCAAGGAGTGAAGGTTACCCTCAGCCCCTCCACCCCTTCCCCATCTCACTCTTATTTATAAGTGATGGCTGCAGAGCCAGAGCTGTCTGGGATATATTCAAGTGAATGGGGAAGGGAGCCTTTCTCTTCAAAGTCCTTTTCTGCATCTCTCTCCTCTCCTTTGCCCTTCCTTACCTGTCCTTTCTTCTCCCTGGGCCTCAGGAGGAAGTTTTGTTGATTTAGAATGTAGCAGTAGTTGTTTCCTAAGAAGATGATGGGCCACAGGAAAGAGAGAACCTAGTTGAGCCCTTAGCAACTCCCCTAATTTTTCTGCGAAGCCCCAGCTCCCCACTCCCAGCCTGACTGCTCCCTCTCTGCATCAATCCCAAAGTCAACCAGGGACACCCCTGCACAGAGACACCTGCATACATAAAACGTGGAGTCCACAGTAATAATAGGGGAGAGACTCACAGCCAACACTTCAGTGAAGTGACACTTCAAATGCAGATAACTGTGCCCCAAATCTGGCAGAACCGCCCAGACCATCAGGCAAGCCCAGGTTTTAGTCCTGACACAAATACATCCCAAGATGTCTAGAGACACATTCCTAAATGAGGTGCTGCAGTCCCGAGGAGGGCTCAGTATCATCATACCATCCTCAGAGGATCCTCATCTGTGCCCCAGCAGGGGCCCAAAGACGGAAGGGGTACACTCAGCCCCCAAGTTGGTGGGCTAGAAAGAGCAAGGAAAGACAGCAGTGGTCTCATGAAATTATTCTACACACACACACTTTGTTGCAGGAAATGTTTAATTCTGCATGTTGTTTTCCTCTCCTTCCAACAAAAGGAGGTCAAATTGTGGGTCGTAAGCTTTGACAAGGTCGTCCTCGGTCCATCTGTGCCCAGCTTGACAGAGACTGTAGCTTCTCTTGCTCTGCCTGGGCCCTGCATTCTTCCGCAGCCCCCCAGCTCTTAATTTTACTCTGTTCGGCCAAACCCACCTTGCACCAGCGAGTCAAGTCACCCCTTGTGGAAAAACCCCTCTCCCCCCCATCCCCTACTAGCTCAACCCCACCAGCGGCTGGAAAGCCAGGTCAGGAGAGTCCAATTGAGAATTTATTGTGAATCGATACCTAGCTCCCTTCCTGGGTAAGTTGTTGAGGACAGGGAGGAGCAGAGGCTCCAGTGCTCAGAGCTGGGCGCAGTCTCCTTACCCTACCCAACTCCAGACCCAGGCAGAGAGGCCCCACTCTCAGCCACTGCCCTCCCCAGGGCAAAGCGAGACCTGCCCCAGCGCCAAGCTGTGCCTCCCACGACTCAGGCCTGGACAGTGATCTGCGGGGCGGCTGTGCACAAGCTTCTGGGGAACAGTCCCGCGTGCAAAGGAAGAGGCGAATTGCACCTCAATCATGTGACTGAAGTTCACCCTCTGCTTCCCTTCTCCCCGCTGACCCCCTTCCAATCCCCTTCAGTTCCAAGGACTCTTGCTCCTGCTTCTCCTGACCCTGCAAGGGGGCATCCCAGTAGAACTTTCTTGCTTTGTTGGTGGCTGTTGTGAAATTGTGCTGTGTTTTGTGATTTCTTTGGGGGTGATTATCTCGCCTGTTTCAGTTGTGGCTTATATGGGTGGGTTGTGGGTGGGAGGGGGAGGGACCGGGGTCTAGAGTTGATTGTTTGTTTTGGAAGAAAAAAAACAAGAAAAAGAACAAAAAATATATATCAATCTAGAAAATAAATTTCTCCTTGTGTCTTCTTCTGTGTTGGTTCTCCTCACCTGGCCAGAGGTACAGAGCCTAGGTCCACGAGGGCAGCGTGGAAAGAAGAGAGACTCCTGTGCCCAAGAGGTTTCCTGAGCTCTTGCAGGGCAGCCTGGTGGAGGGGGGGGGAGCTGGGCAGTGGGTTGAGACTCCAGATCCCAAGACCGTGGCTTAAACCCAGCCAGTCTTCCCTCAGGGCAAGGTGGACTTGGAGGGGAAGGAAAGGAAAGGAAAGATGAGCAGGTTAGAGAGGGGCTGGACCTGCAGGGAGCACTGAGCTCTTCCTCCAAACAAAGTTGCACTGGAGACCTCCCCACCAACTCCAGAGCCAGAGGGGCAGGACGCTTCTGGGGTGGCCCTCTCATCCCTGAGCACCTCGCTTTGGCTTGGCCAGCTTACAATAAATATGTCAGCAAGAAAGGCAGTGACCCCTCCTGCTCTTCCCTGCAGCAGGGTGAGTGTCTGCTCAGAGACCTGGGGAAGGTCATTGCTCTCCTTTCTTCCACTCAAAAGGAGTAACCCCCTCAGGGTTCTCAGTCCCTACCTGGAGTTGGAAACTCGGATTTGAGCCCCAGGGAAGCAGCTTTGCTGTGAGGCTGATTGAATTTGGCCGGGCTGCAGGCCTGGAGGGGGGCGGCTCTGAGTGTGGAACAGAGACATCTCAGGAGGAAAAACAAAAACAAAAACAAAAAACAAAAGCAAAACCAATCCTTTCCCCATCTGACCCCAGAACTAAATCCAGTTTCCAGAGGCACCTCTCTACTCGTGGCGTCCCCACCGGAGTCTCTTCGGAGACGGCGGTTCTCGGCGTCGGCGGGGCCTTCTTTCTCGTCGGGCGTTGGGATTCGCCTGTGCCGGGCAGCGCCGGAGCCCCGGCCTCCCGCCCGCGCCTCCCACCCGGCCCTCGCGGCGCCCGGCAGCCCGCGGAGACCCCAAGGGGTGGAGTAGAGGTGGGGACAAAGCTTGACCCGAGAGAAAGGAGCCTGGCAGCGAAAAGGCCCAGCCTACCCCTCTCCAGCGAACGCCGGCTTGCACTAATCGCAGGCGGAGCAGGAGGCAGAAGAACGCGCCGCTCCTGGGTATGGCAGGGCCCGGGACCCGCATCCTCCGAGGAGGGTCCATGGGGGTACAGAATGGATCTGGCCTGAGAGCTCGTGTAGACCAGACGCCCTCCCCAGCCGGGTCTCCCTGCAGCCAGCCGCCTCCAGGAGGGAGCCCAGAGGCCAGATTCCGCCAGGAACCGCACCGAGCGAGGCTGGCACCGGCAGGCGCGCGGCGGGCCGAGGCGAGGTCGCCGGGACAAGCCTCGGGCGGGCGGCGTCTGGGTGCGGAGCCCGGGGTGGCTTCTTTAAAGACAAACAAAGGCGAAGATGCGGAGGCTCGGAAGCCGGAGATGGGGAAATCTGTTGTCATAAAAGAGAGAGCGATTCAGAGAGGGAGACCGCGAGAGTGCGAGACGGAGAAGCCAGGAGAGGAATTCAATGCCGTGTGCGCAGCCATAAAAGAATATGACCGCTATAAAAGTTTATAGCGTATAAATTTCTGAAGGTTAAGAAACTAAACAGCAGCAAAGCAAACAGTGAGGGGAAACTTTCCGGAGCTGGAGAGCCGCAGCTGGGCCTGGACTCCGGGCACCGCGGGGCCAATGGGTGGGCCGGACTCCGGGGCCCCCACCCTCACCCACCTCCTGGACTGGGGACTTGGGGTTTCCTGGGCGCCCAGGGGGCAAAGAGGGCAGAAGAGGGACGGGAGGAGGAAAGACAACACTTTGTTGTCACATATGCTTCAGAGAACGCGATTCGGACGCTTGTCTTTGTTCCTCACACCCCCCTCCAGAATCGGGCGTCATACACGAGGAGCCCCCTGCACACACGCGCGCGCGCGCACACACACACACTCACACACTCACACACACACACACACACACAGGTCCGGCGGGGCCAGACGTCTGGGCGCGGGCAGCCTCTTGATCCTTTTTACGGTCCCATCCCACCCTCTCATCCTCGCCACCCCCCCAAAAAAAAAGCCCGATTGTTTCTCTTCAGAATTTGAGACAATCGTGTTGGGTTTGAAAAGTGCTCAGCCCCCCTCTACGGACCATAAAGGCGCTTTGCTCGGTCGGTCTCCGCCAGAAATTAGAGGCTGAGATGGGGGGAGACCCGTGTAAGTAGGAGAGAAAAAAGCTTGTGACTTATTTTTCCTCTTCACCCCCTCGCCCTGTGGTTTTTTGCAGCTTATCTGCACAATTTCATGAACGATTTCCCTATGTCCGATGTCTTTTTCCCTCGCTCTCCTTTTTTTCTGCTAATAAGGAAAGTTTCGGCCCCTGGTCGCCTGGCGGCTGCTCCTGCAGGACGCGGCGGGGCGGGCGCGCGCCGATTCTCGGGGCGGCCGGTAGATGGCAGCCGTGCTCCACGCGAGAATCCCGGCGCGGCGGCTGGAGCGCGGCCGGCTGCGGGTCTCACCTTAGGCGGCCCGGAATCCGCGGCCTGAGCGCTACCAAAAGTCATGAATAATGTGAGCGTAATAAAAATTTAGGCTTCGTTATGGCCTTTCTCTCCACCTTATAGATTTCAGATATACTAGAGTTGCCCCCTCCCCTCAAATGAAAAATTTTCTGAATTTCCCCAGGAGGGCTCAAGGCTTCTCACCCAGTTTCTGTGTTTGGTGAGGGCAACAAATGCACGAAATCGGGAAATAATAATAAGAATAGGAATAATAGAGCCAAATAAGAGAGGAGGTTTGGTTGGGGGGCATGAGTTTTTCCGGGGAGGGGAAAGAGAGGAAAGTCTGTGGATCGGGGTGAGCAGGTCAGGTGAGTCGGGCGAGCGGGCGGGAGAAGGTCGCACGGAGGCGAAGCTGCCCCGAACCTGCCGGACCGGCAGGAGAGGGAGCCGGGTGAGCCAGCCGGGGTGGGTTGGGCATAATTTGGGGGAAGTGGATCTGTGGCTTTTGTGGGAATTCGGAGGTACCCCAAGGCAGCGGGGTGACTCCGCACAGACCGAGGCTCCAGAGCCTTTGTACGCGTCTGGGGCTGGGCTGGGCGCGCGCCGGGCGTCCGGGTGCCGGGTCGGGGCTCTCCAGAACGGCAAGGTGCGGAGAGGCGCGGTTTTCGTCGGGGGGTTCTGCACGCCCTAGGTTGGGTGGCCCCCCAAATTAAAAAGCACGTTTCCTGGGTGCAAGTGGGAGCCGGCAGGCAACAGGAAGCGGGCGCGCGGTGGTCTCTGCCTCCAGTGGCTTCCAGGTGAGAGCTGCAGCGCCCTGCGCCTCGGCCGGGTCCCACGATGGGGCGGGGGGCACAGATTCTTTCGTAATTTAGCAGCTGGAGGTCAGGGGCATTTTTCGTTCTAAGACCCGCGTGTTCTCTGCCCGCGGTCCCTTGGATTTCAAATTTCCACTCTCCTCCCGGCCCAGCCCGATCGGGGTCCCTATCCCCACAAACCTGCATGACAAATAGATTTCCCCCCTCCTTAAAATTAGCCCCACTGCAGCCTCTCCTCTCTTCCTCCAGGACCGGGTGCAAAGAAGCAAGCGGAGTTTCTCCTCAACTTGAGTTTCTCTAATAAATCTGCCCTCCGTTGGGTGTTTATAAATTATCTCCCCGCTCTTTCTTGTTTTTTCTTATAATAGAAACATTTTCCTTCCATCAAGAATTTCTGGCGCGGTGTAGGGATGATTTAGAACAAGCCATTGAATTTCTACCTCACCGGTGAGTCCTCAAATCATGACCATAAAATCCCCCGCACTTGATAAAAATGTTCAATCCGCAACAACTTAACTCTGCCGGCGGCGGCCTCACCGCCCCCTCAGCCTGGCGCTGAGAATCCAGGACCCTGCTCCGTTCTTCCCTTTTCTTCTTTCTCTCTCTCCCTCTGTCAGCCCCTCTCCCATTCTCCGGATTCACTTTTGAAGGACCAAGTGACCCCACTGGTAACTTCCCTTTTGATGGTTTAATTTTTTACAATGGCCGGGGGGAGTGGAATCAGCCAAAAGTGCCCCTCCAGAGCAGACCACTCTCCCCTGAATAATCAATGGATTGACCATATTTGTTAAACCTGCCCCCCCACCTTTGTTGCTAGAAATATTTTTCTCTTTCTCTTCCTTCTTTACTTTCCTTGGCCAATGATTTGCTCCAGGAGGCCCTGGGTTCTGATGGTCACACTGAGGCCTTCTGAAGCCTGCCCACTGTGGTTGCTGGGGTGGAGAGCCGGGGAGAGGCAGGGGTGGAAGACAGCAGCTCCAGCACCTCTCCCTGCACCCTGTGTTTCAGGCCCCAGGCCCTCGGGTCTGGAAGGAGAGCCAGGTTTAAGTGGAGGCTCCCCAAAGGGAGAGAAGATGGGTGACTCAGTGGCCTTGCTGCATCCAAATCCCCCCCACCCCAAGGTCAGTTTAGGAGGTGACAAAGGACAATGAAGACTAAAAGATGCCCACTCCCATCCCCCACAAACACACTTTGCAGCCACTGCCAAGGGCAAAGGAAGGCACAGGACAAGGGGCACCAAGGCCAGCCACCAAGGTGCCCAGAGGCAGCCTCCCCTCCTCTTCCCTCCCTCTGATGTGCTGATGGGTTGGGCGGCACCCTCTCACCTAAGGGTGGTTCAGAAGGTGGGGGGGGATTGTTTTGGGAAGGTTGGGGGCCAGTTGGGTTTGGCTACTGAATCCCAAGGCCTGGGTGCAGGAGTGAGGTAGCTCACTGGGTGTTAATGATGGTGGCATCAGAACCTCTCCCCTCATGCAAAGTTGGTCCCCCAAAGCCACAGACTGGGCCCCAGTGCCTAGTGGAGACCCCTTCCTCACAGCGGCCCCCAGGCCCACTGAGGTCTGCAGAGCTGCAACTCGGCGGTTGCAAGTAACTTTGCTGTGTGCTTCATCACTGCCCATTAACCAGAAGTTTCTCCTGCCCTCCTGGTTTCCCCTCATACCCTCCTGGACCCTGCAGAAAATCCTTGCTTGTTTGCTTAATATGTGAAAGTTGGTGAGGGGCCTGGGTGGGGCAGGGAGACAGTGGTGTAGGGGCTCCAGAGAGAGGTGGGGGCAGGTGCTTGCTACAGCTGAAGGAGAAAATCTCAGAAAAAAATCACCGTTTGCGCCGAAAAAACCCATAATCGTTCTCATTTCAGCTTCGTCACCCCCACCGTGCTGCAGTCGGGCGGCGGGGGCGATCGAAGCTGCAGTTTTATAGCTGTAGAGGAAAGAACTCGTAAAATGCTAACAGCTTTTATGCGCTGCGGCATAAACAACAACAGACTCCGGCTTTATTGCATTTTATAGTTTGTTAAAGAGTTTACAGCCGTTTTTTTGGGGGCCGGTTACCCAGCCAATTCCCTCCACACGATAGTTAAACCTTTATCAATAATAAGGAAATTGATCATTAAAGCTTTAAATATGACTACCTCGTTTGTTTGAAAATATGTTTAGGAGAGCAAGCTGTATGATTTGATAACTTGTATTAAAATACCAATTACATTTATAGGACCTTTTAAAACTCGGCGCAATTAAACCGTGTTCTTTTACATTTTTCCGAAGCGACCCTGACATTTAAAAAGACTCCAACTGCCTCGTTAAAATCGCGAAATTAACAGCGTGCCTACGCCTGGCGCGTTGTGTATGTGTGTGTGCGTGTTCTTTTCCGTGACTCCCCCACATCCGTCTTTGGGGGTGGTCTGCGAAGGTATTTGATTTGTTGGGAGGCGAGAGATATCTCATTAATGTAGGTAGTTAAACAGATTTAATCCGTATTCATTCTCTCTCACACCCCCGTCCCTCTCCCGCCCCCCCCCCTCTCTCTCCCTGGGTGTTTTTTTTTTTTTTCCTTCCCCTCCTTTTTTTTTTTTTTTTTTTTCCCACTTTCTCCTCACTCCCTGGCGCTCGCTCGCTCGCTCGCTCTCTCTCTCGCTCGCTCTCGCTCGCTCTCGCCCTCGCTCTGCGTTCTGTCCGGGAGGAGTACGGAGAAGCCAATAGGATGCGGGGTCTCTAATGGATGCAAATGATCATGAAAAGACAGTGCAAAATATGAAACAACTCATTTGCAGGGAAGTAAATCACCGAAAACTGTTTATGAACTGGCATCCCTTCTTCGAAATGTAAAGCGAGGACCTCTTTAAGTGGCGGTATATTTTTGTTTTGGGGGTGGGGGGTGGGGGGCAGGGCGCGCGCGCCGCGGCTGCCATGCAGGCGTAGACTTTTGGAGGCTTCGCTGTCCCTTCCTATTCCTGGAAATCACAAAAAGTGTGGTGGCTTCGAGAGCTTCTTCGCCTTTTCTTTCTTTTCTTCACCCCCCCCCTCCTCCCTTGCCCGCTCCTTTCCTGGCGAGGGTGACTAGGAGCCGGCGAATCCGCGTTTTTTTCTCTCTCTCCCTCCCTCTCCCCCTCCCCACCCCCTCCCCAACAGCCCCCAACTACAGCCGCCGACGCCGCCGCCGCCTCAAAATTCAATAAAATGAGCTCTTATTTCGTCAACTCACTGTTCTCCAAATACAAAACCGGGGAGTCCCTGCGCCCCAATTATTATGACTGCGGCTTCGCCCAGGACCTGGGCGGCCGACCCACCGTGGTGTACGGTCCCAGCAGCGGCGGCAGCTTCCAGCACCCGTCGCAAATCCAGGAGTTCTACCACGGGCCGTCGTCGCTGTCCACGGCGCCCTACCAGCAGAACCCGTGCGCCGTGGCGTGCCACGGGGACCCGGGCAACTTCTACGGCTACGACCCGCTGCAGCGGCAGAGCCTGTTCGGCGCGCAGGACCCAGACCTGGTGCAGTACGCCGACTGCAAGCTCGCGGCCGCCAGCGGCCTGGGCGAGGAGGCCGAGGGCTCCGAGCAAAGCCCGTCGCCCACGCAGCTGTTCCCCTGGATGCGCCCGCAAGGTGAGCTCGCGCCGGGCCGGGCCGCGCGGGCGGGAGGGAGCGCCGAGGGCCCAGGGCCGGGCGGGGGCCGGGCAGGCCGGGCTCGCGCCCTGCAGCTCCTGCAAGACGTGCCGGCTCCGTCCAGATCGCCTCTTCCTTCCTGCTTCCTTCCTGCTTCCTCCTCCCTTCCTCCTGCCTTCCTCCTTCCTCGCTTCTTCTTTCTTTTTTCCACCCTTTCTTGTTTATTTCCCTTGGAGGGGGGTCGCTCAGCGACATTTCCTGAACCCATAAACCCCTCACCCTGCCTTATTTTTCTTCTCCCCCTCCCTTTTACTGTTTTATGGGGGGTAATGGAGAGCGGGTGGTGGGAGTGGGGGCGCTCAACTTTTGCACTTCTCAATCGCTTTATAGTTTAATTGCCCTGGAGAAACTTTTCTTCTGGGGCAGAGGCTCTGGGGGGTTTTGCAAGGTGGGTCCATTCGTCCCCATCCAGCTTTTTTGTATTCTTGCTGCTTCCCCTTCTCCACATCCTTCCTCCTAAAGTTTATGGCACTTTTAATAGATGTGAAGCACCCCCCGGCCAACTCTCCAGGGCTGGTCACCAGGGGAGGGGGCTTCCCCTTTCTGACTCCCTTAGAGTCTGTGGTAGCCGATCCCCCCCCCACGTCTCCCCCCACACCGAGGCCTGCCAGCGGCCCCCTCCCGCGCGGGGCAGAAGTTCCCCTGCCCTCATCACCCCGGTGTCCCCGGCCGGCTCACGAATCTTGCTCCCTTCTCCATCTCCGCCCCTCCCCCACGCTCCCCTCCCCTCTGTCTGGCCCTTTCCACCCTTCCCAGCAGCCGCCGGACGCAGGCGAGGCCGACAGACCTACAGCCGCTACCAGACCCTGGAGCTGGAGAAAGAGTTCCTATTTAATCCCTATCTGACTCGCAAGCGGCGGATCGAGGTATCGCATGCCCTGGGACTGACAGAGAGACAGGTCAAAATCTGGTTCCAGAACCGGAGGATGAAGTGGAAAAAAGAGAACAACAAAGACAAGTTCCCCAGCAGCAAATGCGAGCAGGAGGAGCTGGAGAAGCAGAAGCTGGAACGCGCCCCGGAGGCGGCGGACGAGGCGGACGCGCAGAAAGGCGACAAGAAGTAGGCTCCAGCTGGGACTGCCAGGGCCGCGGCCGCCCGCGCCCGCCGGGCCCGCACCGGCCGCCGCCGCCCGCCCCCGCCCGCCCGCCCGCCCGCCCGCGCCCGCCCGCCCGCCCGGGAGAGCCCCGGCCCCGCGAGCGGGGCTCGAGCCGGGCCTCCCGCCGCCGCGTCCCCCGCCGCGCCGGTCCCGCTAGTGGTAGTATCTCGTAATAGCTGCTGTGTGTGAGCTACCGTGGGTCTCGTCCCTTCTGGGGGGCTGGGGGGAAAGCATCGAGAGCGAGGACTCCTTCGCCCCGCGAGGGTGAGCGGCCGCGGCCCGGCTGAGCCCCGCCCCCCACTCCCACCCCGTGTAAAAAGCTCCTTGTGCAATGGTCTCTTTCCTTTGAACGTGCTTCTTTGTAATGACCGAGGTACCGATTTCTGCTAAGTTCTCCCAACAACATGAAACTGCCTATTCACGCCGTAATTCTTTCTGTCTCCCCGTCTCTCTCTCTCTCTCTCTCTCTCTCTCTCTCTCTCTCTCTGTCCTCATTTCCCCCTCCCAACCCCTCTCTCCCCGCTGCACCCCCTCCCCAGCTCGCTGGCTTTCTCTCTTGCTTCTCTCTTCCTCCCAACCCCCCCCCCTTTGGTTTGACAATTTCGTCTTAAGTGTTTCTCAAAAGAGGTTACTTTAGTTAGCATGCGCGCTGTGGGCAATTGTTAAAAGTGTTCTTAGGTTTACTGTGAAGAGAATGTATCCTGTATCCGTGAATTGCTTTATTGGGGGGAGGGAGGGCTAATTATATATTTTGTTGTTCCTCTATACTTTGTTCTGTTGTCTGCGCCTGAAAAGGGCGGAAGAGTTACAATAAAGTTTACAAGCGAGAACCCGAGACGGGCCTGGTCCGCGCTCCTCATTTGCTCCCGGGGCCTCGCAGAGCTGGGGGGAGCCGGTCCCTGGGCTGCTGCGCCCTCCAGGCCAGGCCGCGGGGAGGAGGGGCGGGGGCTGGAGGCAGGTGGTGCGAGTCCCGGGGCCCAGGGGCGCAGGGGGTGAGGGAGGCGGCCGCGCGTGATTGGAGGAGACGGGGACGAGGGAGGGGAGCGGGGAGCAGCCCCCTCCCCTCGCGCTGGGAGCCGGCCGGCCCCCGAGACCCCGGCTGGCAGGCCACGCTGGAGAGGGGCGCCCGGGCGGGTGGCTGGTTCCCCGCGAGCTCCCCCTTTGTCTCCGCGCGCCGCTCGCGGGTGGGAGGAGCTGGCGTGGGGGCGGGTGAGGGCAGCGCGCGGGGCTGCTGAACCGGCTGATATTTTTCTTTTTCCCGGACTCCGGTGGGCGCGGGGCGGGGCGGGCGCTGGGGGAGAGGGGAAGTGCGCGTCCCTGCCGCTGCTCTCGGGCCTGGCCACCTCCACACAGCGCCGAGGTCGCGGCTCGCCGCCTTCCTTCCTTCCGTCGCCCCCTCTGCAGCTCGGGCGGCCGGGCTCGGCCGAGGCATCCGCCTCCCGGAACAGGAGAGCAGAACACCCTGGCCACCCTTCCTTTCCCTTCCTTTCCCTTCCCACCCACCCCGCTGCCTTCCTTTTTTTATTTTCAAACCTCTTTTCAAAGACACCCAAAGCTGCAGCCTGCAGAGCCCCCCGTGGGCTGGATCCCGCGCCTCCAGGAGAGCCCCGAAGCCTCGCGCCACCCCTCCCCGTGTGCCCGGGGCGCTGCAGACACGGCCGCGAGCCCAGGGTCACCCAGTTCCTCACCTTGGGAGAACCACGCCAAGTCCCCCCAAGGCCTAGCCAGAAGGCTCGGGTCCGGGCTCATACAGCCCCGGCCTGCCCGCACCCACCCACCCACCCACCCGCGAACAAGCCCTGCATTGGCTCCTTGCTGGGGAGCGGGCTGGGCCGGAGAGTGGGGGGCGACAACACGGTTCGCTCAGAGATTATTTATTTTCTCTTCTGCTCAATCTTTTCCTCCCGGAACCTCGCCTGCAAGCTGCCTCTCGCCCACGGGGGTCGACAGCGACCCTTGCGCCCCCGGCCCCAATCCACAGAGCTTGGCTTTCCCATTCATTATTGATCATATTTTATAAATCCAACGCCACACAATTTTTTCCACATTACCGGGAGCCGTGGGGAGGCTGCCCGGTCATTGGCCGAGGGGCCGTCACGTGGGAGGGGGTCACGTGGTCTGCAGAGGAAAAAGGGGGTCCTTTTTGGTGTAAATCTGGACTCTAATTCTGTAATATATCAAGGAATCTCGTAAAACCGACACTAAAACGTCCCTGCCTACAAATCATCCGGCCAAATTATGAGTTCATTGTATTATGCGAATGCTTTATTTTCTAAATATCCAGCCGCAAGTTCGGTGTTCGCTGCCGGAGCCTTCCCCGAACAAACTTCTTGCGCGTTTGCTTCCAACCCCCAGCGCCCGGGCTATGGAGCTGGCTCCGGGGCTTCCTTCGCCGCCTCGATGCAGGGCTTGTACCCCGGCGGGGGGGGCATGGCGGGCCAGAGTGCGGCCGGCGTCTACGCGGCCGGCTACGGACTCGAGCCGAGTTCCTTCAACATGCACTGCGCGCCCTTTGAGCAGAACCTCTCCGGGGTGTGTCCCGGCGACTCCGCCAAGGCGGCGGGCGCCAAGGAGCAGAGGGACTCGGACCTGGCGGCCGAGAGTAACTTCCGGATCTACCCCTGGATGCGAAGCTCAGGTAATGCCGCGCGCCGGGCCGTCCGGGGCCGCCGCGGCCGGCCACGCTCCCCAGGAGGCGCCCCCTCCCTGGCCAAGTGTCCCTTTCCGCGTCCAGAGTGCTGCCGGCAGGAGGTCGGCCCTGGGGACGCGGCCCCCCCTCGGCCCCCCTCCATTTTTGCTTGTGCTCTCAGACTTGCTCTGCTTCCCTGGCGGAGCCCTCGCTGCCGACGCCTAGGCGCTCCGAGCCCCCAGTCCACCCCCAGCCCTTCCTCCCGGCCTTTTAGCTTTAAATATTTATCAGCCGCGCCGGCACGAACTGGAGATGAGGCCGTTTGTCTTGCGGAGGAAGGCTGGGGTTTGCAGAGAATAGCCATTAGGGTCTTTCCCCTCCCTTCTCCGCCGGGGATCTTAGCTCTGGGTTTGTCCCCCAGCCCTTGCTTGGAGAAGGTCTAGGGGAGGGGGCCTGCAGCGCGGAGTAACCCTCCCCTCCCCCTTCCTTCCAGCCAACCCTGCTCCCCCATTATTCCCTTCTGGACAATTAGAGGTGGGCTCTAGAGGCCCTGGTGGAGGAGGGGGTACCAGGGAAGATGAGAATCCAGCAAGGGACACAGAGCCAGAGGCAGGTGGAGAGAGGGGGGCTAAGGCCAAGAAAGATGGGGCTCCTGACCCCCGCCCCCAGGGCAGAGGCCTCTTGGGAGTACAACTGCCTTCTTCAGGCGACCTTCCTAAGAGGGCACCTTCCTTGGAGTACTGGTCCATAAGTTTACAGGTATCATTCCAGAAAGGTGAATGTCCTCTTGGGAGAGGGACTAAAACTCTCTGTAGCCCAATCAAGAGTTAGAGTGTATAGGCCACTGGGCCAGCTGCTGCAGGAGCCCTGAGACCTGGGACTCCAGTGGGATCTTCTGCCAAGCCTGCCCAGTCAGCCTCCTTAATGCTGCCCTGGACTCAAGGGCCAACCCCAAACCTAGAAGGTGCAAGACTTGTGGACAGAGGCTCCGGACCCCGCTCTGGTTGGGGCCCAGCACTTACACCCTCCGTATTGGCGGTTACAGTTCCCATTGCCTGCTCCATAATTCAACTGCTTTTCCAGTTGATTTATCAAAGCCCAAATTTTTCTACTCATAAACATTTCAACTTGGCTTTCATCTGGCTTGAAATTAGGGCCCCAGCCCTCCTCCCTCCTGTCTTCTTCCCAGCAGTACTGGCACCAGCACCTCCTCCTGCACAATCCTCCCCCAAGCCTCTGGGCCTCATCTGGGGAGCTCTCTTCTGCCACCCAGTCCCACAGCTCAAACACATCACATTCCACCCCAGCGCAGGCTGCTGTCGTCCTCTCCCCCTGTGCCTGCGCGGAGGCCCAGTGATTGCTGAGTGTCACTCCGCGGGCTGGGCAGGTGGGCAGACAGGCCAGTCTGACCCTGTGTGAACCTCTCACTCGCTGGAAAACAGTCATCAGAGGGCAGCTGCTCACTGGCGTACTCAACTCCAAGGAAACCTGCAAATTTTCACCTCATCCTCCTTCTGCAATTGGCTCCTGGGGGGGCTCCTTGTGGGGGGCTGTTGGGTACTGGACCTGTAAAGCTCCTTTGTCTCCTTTTCTTTTTTTTTGAGGTGGGGGGGGCGGGAAATGCCCTCAGGCCAGGCTTGGAGTCCCACTCCAGAGTCCTGTGCACAGTGTCCATTGTCCTCCCACCCCAGACCATCAGAGTCAGCCTCTGTGAGGGGAATCTTGGGGTGTCTGATTCCTCCCAAGAGTCAGGGAAGATTATTCCTGCTTCATCCCTGGAAGTGGGGGGCGGGGAGCGGGGCTTCAAGGGTCAGCAGGTTAGAGCTTAGGTTTAGAAGTCCCAGACCCAAAGGTTTCCTGGAGACAAGATGGAAGCGGTTGCCTCAGAAGGCCCCGGACCTGTCTGTGCACTGATGGAAGAGGGCAGGCCTAGGCACGGGGCAGAAAAAGTAAGAGTTTTGTTTAGTGGGAAAATGGGTTCTTCCCAACCACCCATCCCAGCACTACACAGGGTCTAAGGAGGGAGGCAGGCACGCTGGCGTTTTCCGCACGCACTGATTTTTCTCCTCTAATTACTTTGCTCAGGAACGGACCGCAAGCGAGGCCGCCAGACCTACACCCGCTACCAGACGCTGGAGCTGGAGAAGGAGTTCCACTACAACCGCTACCTGACCCGGCGGCGGCGCATCGAGATCGCGCACGCGCTCTGCCTCACCGAGAGACAAATCAAGATCTGGTTCCAGAACCGGCGCATGAAGTGGAAAAAAGAAAACAAGACCACGGGCGCGGGAGCCACCGGCCAGGACAAGGCCGAAGCCGAGGAGGACGAAGAAGAGTGAGAGACAGAAAGGGCGGAGGGAGAGAGACAAAAGAGGGAGAGAAGAAGAAACCCAGTTCTGGGAACTGAACCAGGAAACTCAGATCAAAGGGAGGGGGGGGATATTTAATGGAAAGCAGTTAACTTTTTTTAAGGAGAAAGGTGAACTTTTGGTTTCTTGACACTGAAAAAAACAATAAAATAAAATACTACCTAGAGCGAAGTCCGTCGGGTTTGTTTTTGTACAATATGGGAAGGACATCATCTACCTGTGCTGTAGCTTTCTGGAATCTGCTTCCCTTTTCTATGTTGCTATTGTAAGGTCTTTGTAAAATCTTGCTGTTTTGTAAGCCTCCTTTGATGCCCTGTCTTGTGGTCTGTGGTTCTGGACTAACTAACGTGTGGTTCCCCACCCTGCCCAGCCCTTCCTTCCCAGTAGCAGCCCTGAAGGGGCCTTAAGGAGCCCCCAGGACCCTCCCACTAGCTCCTGTCCCCTCTATGCACCTGGACTGCCCAGTGATCCTGCTCCCACCAGCCCCTGAGGTCCTCTTTTCATTCTATGTGTATCTGAAGGATGAATATAAATAAAACAATAAAGCGATTAAAAATAAACACTTGCCCTATTTTCTGTGTCTAAGGCTTGAAGGGGATCGGGGTTAGTCATGCATCACGGAACCCTTTGCTCCAAATTCTGGCCCATTATTATTATTATTTTTTTCTGTGCTAGGGTCTGCTGTTTTTCCCTGGTGCCTCTTGCTCTGGGGGGCTGCAAACTAATAAACCCCAAGATCACACATATTCCCTTTACATGCCCTTACACACATAGACATACACAAATGCACACAACCCTACACATTTACAGACTGACAGTATACAAATATACACACCGTCACAGCAGTTACCAATAAACACACATATTCACAAATAAACACACAGGCATTCACACATCTCCACTCCACATCCAGAACACTGGCATTTGCGTTCACACACACTCACATGTAAACACACATTCACACTCACTCACAGACACATTTATACATACCAATGTACATTCACACATTGCCTTGTAAACACACAGACTCACATTTGCCCCCAAGTGCATACATCCATGAGCCTCCATGCTCAGTCAACACACATTCACAAAACAAAACAAAACAAAATCCCCACAGTTCCACAAATTCTTCTTCATCTAGGCCTTCAAACCAGGCTGCTGCCTTTCGGGCGGAGCTGCCGCTGGGGAACAAACACAGAGCAGAAATCTAAAAAGCCAGGTTAGGCCGCAGGAAGGAAGAATGCAAGGAAAGGGAAAGCGACCACCCAAATCCACTGCCGATGCCTGTGGTGCTGGGCAGGGGCCAGCGGCGCGCAGAGGCCGCCGGGGCCGCCGTAGAGAGGCCTCCAGCGAGGGCGCGCCTGGCCTTCCGCTCACTTGACAAATATTTTCCTCCAGAGCTATTCGGTTATTTAATTTTAATTTATTTTACTTTCATTTATTTTAGTTCACCTGATTCTAACTTAATACAGAAAGCCAAGAAAAAGTTTAATATTTGGGGAGAGAGAGGCGCCCCACGAGCGAGAGTCCGAGCGGCGAGTTTACCGGGTTAGGGCGGCCGCACCCGGCGGCTCGGGGCTGCCCGCGAGCGAGTCTCCGCTGGCTCCCTCCGCGCCTTTCCGCCGGCTCTTCGCGCTGCGGGGAAACTGGAATCTTCTCCCCAGTCCCGAGAAAGAGAGAAAAAAGAAAAACATTGTTGGGGAGGTTATTTCGTTTCATACATTTGGGTTCCAGGGGCTGAATTCAAAATACGGGGATTTTTCAGGAGACCTGGGAAATACGGGGTGAATTTTGTTGCTTGTTTTTGCTCCAAAACACCCCCGATTGAATGACAAAAACGAAGGGGGTGACATCTAACTGCTGAGCTGATTTTTAGTAATTATTCGATCATGAACTCCGGATTATTTAAAACGTAAAAAAAAAAAAAAAAGAGAGAGAAAGAGAGGGCTCCAGACAGGAAGGGAGAAGCAGGCTGGAATGAAATGTTTTAGAAAAATTTGTTTAATTCGAATTTGTAACTAAAAGCCCCCTAAACCTCTAGTTTTCCCCAGTCAATGACCGCAGAAACCCCTGGAGATCGGCCGCGGAGCTGCTATAGGGACCCCGGACTTAGCCGCATGTGAGCGGGGGAGACCGGGATCCCGCTGGACTCTCCGAGTTCTGGGGAGCAGAGGCGAGAATCCGGTTGCTAGACTGTCCGACACAGCCTGCATCCGGGACACCTTTCCTCCTTGGGCAAAAGCTAGGTTCTAGGGGATCTGGGCCCCCCACACCTGCAATGCTACAAGCTTCACAGGTGGGAGTTCCATCATCTACAGGGCTAGGGGTGCAGGGGCATTCGGAGGGGGCGAGGGGGCACTGAAGCTTTCATTTTGCCCTGATGCTATTGGCAAATGTGGACATCAGCTACTGCTTCTGACTCACCCCCAAATTGCTTTAGAACAGCCCCAGTGTGGAGAATTTGGGGTGAGTTTTTACTAGAAGAAGGGCGAGCTCCTTTGAGAATCCAGGAGGTTCCAAAAAGAACCTCATACCCAGCTGAACCCTTGTGGCTCCTCCGCCTCATTCCCTGCACCCTAAATCTGATCTCTTCTCAGGTTAGGATTTCCCCAAAAAGAGAGAAGGAGAAGAAAAGAAGATGGCGACTGAGAAAAGGGTTGCTGGTGGAGCAGCCATGAAGAAATGCAATAAATTCCTTGTTGTTTTATGAAAATTTACAACTTTGTGATAGAAGTTTATGAGTGGTTGAATCCAGCGATTGGCCGGCGCCGGTCATGTGGCCGGGCGATCGTGAACATGAACTTTTTATCATTTCCCTGGTGGTTATAATGCAGCATTCTTTTGGACACCACACCTAGGTCGGAGCACTGTCGTCCTTCAGGGCTCCAGCCTCTTGATATTTTTATACTTCAGTATCAGCTCGATAAAGCAAAAGAGAGAGAGGAAGATCAAGGTGGAGAGGAAAGCAGAGAGAGAGAGAGAGAGAGAGAGAGAGAGAGAGAGAGAGAGAGAGAGAGAGAAGGGGTGGGGATTACACAAAAGGGAAAACCAAAAATAATTTTAATTTCTAAGTTAATTTGCTTGCTGACCTGGGATTTTAGTCATCATGGAGGGTAAATGGACAATCTGCCCAGAACCGCAGGCTGATACCATTTTTCAAAGCCAGAACTTACTCCATTTTCTATGCAAATATCCGAAAAGCAAAACACCCTCTCTCCCAAGTCAGAGAAGGGGAGGCGACGGCTCTCAGGTTGGGACAATATTATCTGGAAGATGAAGAAGAACCCGAACGCTACCCCCCCTTTTCGTCCCCCACCCGCTTCAATCCGGAGGGAAAATTTCCCAAGGTCTGCAAAGGTAAGAGAGATTCTACAATTCTTTTGATTCTTTTGCATCGATTTTGTAGGGGGTGGGGCTTGGGTTTGTCTCCCTCCTCCCCCCTCCAAGAAGGGGCTGAACCCCACCTCTGGGCGCTGCAGGGAGAGGCTTCCCAGGAAATTCAGTGACCGAGAAAGGGGTGGCTGCTTCCTGGAGGGGGAGCCAGGGCAGGGAAGACAGGAGGGGGAACGGAAAGGGGCCACGGAAGCGAGCTCCACCTCGCCCCTTTAAGATGCGAGGACAAGGCTCAAGGAAGGGGCCGAGAAAGAAAGGATGGGGGTGTCTGGGCTTCAGGGTGCTCTCAGCCGCCGGTCGCCGCGGCCTCTATGGGTTTATACCCCCTCCCCCTCCAACCATCCCGCCCTGGCCCTGGCCTCCCCCATTTGCCCCGGCGCAGTTGTCTTGCCCGGGTGCGGGTGTCGGCGGCTCAAGGGCGGTTTCCCGGCGGCCCTGGCAGAGGGGCGGTGGCGCCGAGGGACGTCCTGGTCTCTGGAGGGCCTGGAATCTCCGCAGAGGCCAGCAAAGGGCGAGGAGGCGGCTAGAGAGAACAGAAAGAACAATTCACAGAGAAATGCTCATTAGCTCCCTTCGGAGACATTTCTGAAATTAAAGGGTTGTAGGTGGAGGCACCCAAACCCAGGGAGACCCCCCAGGAAGCCTGCCTGAGAACGCCCAGGTCTCTCACCACTCCCGCAGGAGGGAGCCTCGCTCTGCAGGGAGACAATTTTGTGGTTTTAATGCGGTAGGTGACAGTGTGTTGATTTCTGTGCAATATCGATTCTATTATCTGTGTTTTATTGGTATGAGTGTGGGTTTTGGTGGAGGAGAAAATTGCCATGTGTGTGTCTGATGCAGAAATGTTTCAAACTTTCCTGGATCCAGATGTGGTGGATATGAAGAGGCTGTTTAGTGTGTGGTTGTTTTAGGCTTGTAAACAGAAACAAAAACAGAAAAATAGAAGCAAATAAAAAGAAACCCCAACTAGGGGACCTGAAGCTGTCGGGACTGGAAAGCTGCTTGGTGCTGAGCTCAGACAGCTAGTCCTGTCCCTCCCTCGGCGCCTGATTTCATTCCACAGCCAGGCCCCCTGAGGGAGGGAGAAGAATCGCTGGACAGGAGGCTGATTCTTAAAGTAGCTGGTGGGGGTGGGGAGGGGTAGTGGAAGAGGGTGCAAGCCCTAGGTGAGGACTTAAAATAAAGTGGAGGGCTTCTGGGGAAGCTTGGAACCAATAGATAAGCGACTTTGGGTGCGGAGAGTATGGGAGATTGATTTCCTTTGCTTTGCACGAATAAGTGCTTGGTTTTCTTTTTTAAAAGACCAGATGGGCAGCGTTCAACCTTGGGTCTCTCTGGTTGCCCAGAGTCTGGTTGCTGGATCTGGGGCAAGGATGTGGGGGAATATTGGCTCTCTCAGTGCTGAGTTGGAAAGACCGGGGCGCAGCCACTTGTGGCGCTGGAGGCCCTCCCCGCGCCTCCACCCTCCCCGCCCCCCCCCCCCAAGCACAGGTAGATTTTCTCCCAAGCAGGCCAGGGCTGGTGGAGGTGGGGGTTCAGGGCCATAGCGAGAGCCGTTCTCGGCCAGCACCCACGACCCGTAAGAGCCGATTCTCAAAGGAAAAATTCCCCAAACACACCCAGACGAGAGAGCTTTCTCTCCTGGAGTCTTGGAGGGGTATAAATCATTCCCTCAGACAGTTTGCTCTGACCCAAATTATGCGGTTTGCTGCCATCTACCGTCCGTTCCGAGACATGCGCCCTCGGCGCCGCCTGCCCAGGGACGCGGCCGGAACCGTGCGCGCCGCTCGCAGCCCGGCCGCTCGGGCTCGGCGGGGTTCGGGCACGTCGAGTCCAGACTGTCGCTTTCCTCTGTATCGTGGTTCCCACCCGTCTGCTTGTGGATTAGAAAACAAGTGTCACCTCTTCCTCGTGCGCCCATCCGGGCCCCAAACCCGGGGGCTGGCCGGGGGAGCGGCTTTTTCCGGGCATATTTAACCAGGACTGATGCTGCATCCCGCGGGCAGGGGGCCCTGGACCGAGGGTCGGGGCACCAGAGTCTCGAGCCTCCCCACCCCCAGGCGCGCGAGTGGATCGCCCGGGCCGCCGGGGAGATCCGAGGCCAAGGCTGTGGAAGGTTTATTTGGTTTTCTTTTCGGCCAATGGAGGCGGTGAGCCCGCGGGGAGCTGGCCCCAGCAGTTCCACTCGGTTGTCAAAAGACAAACCGGGTCTGTGTTCTCCCGGGTGGCTGCTGGGTCTTGCCAGTTCCGTGGGCGGTGTGTCCGTGGTGAAGGAATTGAGCCGAATTTTCGGGAAACTGTTGGTGTCTGCAAGTGAGTGTGGGTCCCTCCCCCATTTCCTATCGTTTCAAGCGAAATCGACGTAAATATGCTTTGGGAAGAAATTGGGAGTGGAAGTGGGGATCAATAACTAAGGAGCCAAACCATTGTAATTTCCGTTGCTGCTCGACCCCCTTACACACCCGCTTAACCCGACGCTTTCGCAGAAGGGGGTGGCCAAGGAGGGGGGGGGTAATGCGCCTCTGCTGCCTCCTTTGAATATTGGCCCCGGTCTCATGGGTTACTGATTAGCTCGGGCTTTCAAGCCTCAGGAGGAAGCTCTGGTTGCTCCTTTCAAGGTGCTGTGGCCCCGGTTTTCGGGCGGGGGCTCCAGGAAATTGCCTGTGGTGCCAGGCAGGCAGAGGTGTTATTGGGATCTGGCCCAGAGCTGGAGGAGCTGCCGAGGTTGAGACCTGGGTGGGGCTGGAGGCAAAGGCGGTGGCAGCCCCCCATGGCTCTGAGCCTCTTGAGTCTGGGGGGCAGGAGCAACCCTTTCAGTTAATGGGCAGGGAGAATGACTCTTGGCATCTAGAAAGCCCAGCCCAGGGCCACCAGTGGAAGCGCACTCAGAGAGTCTTGGGCCCCTCGGAAATTTTTTCTGTAGGCTGTCCAAAGGACAGGTAGAGAGTGAAAGGCGACCGGTACGGAAAGTTAAAACACTTCAGGGCTCTTAGGGTACTACAGACCTGGGGGTAGGGAACAGGAGGAACAAGCCTTACTGCCCACTCCACCCACCCCCCAAGATCTGAGACGATGCCGTTAATTTGCATAATGGAAATAAGGTCTTTGTAGCCCGCTTTGGACAGGCTGATTTTAAGGCTACATCCCAACTTAATAGCTCTCAAACGTTTAGGAGCAGCTACACTTCTCCCTCTGAGGGCATTTATGTTCCCCAACCCCAGATAATCAGAGTCCAGGGGAAGGATTGGGTTGACATGTTTTAATTGCCCCAGTCCAGCCAGAATTGAGAGTGGGGGAGAGGAAGGTGCCCACCGTCCAAAAAGCTGGGAGTGAGGGGAGTTTTGTAGCTGAGAAGAGATGGGAAGCCTGGACAATGTCTTAATCTTCTCTCCCCACCCCCCCTACACACAGGCAAATACCCCTCTCTGAGGTTACCGGTACAGGAGGATTTTACTCCTGAGCTGAATACAACTTAGACACATCCCTGCGAGCTGGAATGTGTGTGTTCACGGGACCACAGACTCCCAGCACAGAAAATTACAATTATAAATCCTGCCTGTGGGGTTTCTGTACATCCTTTCTGTTGTGTACTCAAGACTTGGTGCACATATATATCCATCTCTCTATGCACATACTTCCTCGCTGAGGCAAAGAGAGACACCCCAAACCCACAGAAGGCTGTGCCCCCTGTGTATTTACATATTCCCCCTTGGAGACAGACTGAGGTGGACAGAACTACAGACAGATTCATAGAGATCTGGCTCCAGAAACCAGGCAGCCTCTGGCCTGGCCCTGCCCGCCTGCTCTTTCTCCCAAACAAACGGATCAGACGAATAAACGCTCATAAATACCTCTGGGCTTAGATAAGAGCGATGAGGCGCTATTTCCTTTCATGCCTACTCCAGGCGCCCAGGCCCTGCCTTTGCGGCTCCATCTCACCACAGGCAACCTGCAGAGGTGAGGTTAATTTGGGGGCTTCGATTGTAAGGATAAGGGAGCTATTTTTTTGTGCATCCTTCACAGGGGAAGACTCCCTCTCTCAGCACAGCAAGACTCCACAGGAAAACCCACACCTAGTCCTGTGAGAGGGACATTCTGGCTAGGGAGAAGGCAGGGAGAGCTGAGGCCCAGCCTCAGAGACAGGGAGTAGGGATGTATACACAGGCAGTCTCCCCACCTTACTCCTTCTGCCCAAGTATTCCCCATTCCTCTCTGAAAGTGGGCCCAGGCCCTGCTAGAAGGCAGCACTTATGAGTCCATCATTAGGAGGCTCAAACCGATGTTAACCCCCCACCCCACACAGTCTGGCTAGGAAGAGGTTGGTGGACATCCAGGGGTTGCCACTTGGCCATAAAGGCACAGCCCAGAAGTTGTCCCTGTGAGTTCAGAGAGCCTTGTAGGCCGCTTTGTAACCCACTAAAGATCCACTTGTGGTCACCAGCCTCAGAGCTCTACCATTTTCCTGTATCCCGTGCCATCGCCAGTAGGCAGTGCTGGCCCACTGAAAGGAGCCCAAAGACAAGGTGAGGAGGGTCAGCCTGGCCCTGTCATCGTCTGACTTTGTCCTATACCCTGGCCCATTCCTGGCCCCAGATCCAGAAGTGGTCACTCTTTGCTTCCTGGTGAAGGGTGCATGTTAGAATCTTGAAAACACATTGGGCCCAGTCTTCCAGCCAATGCTCATTCTCCTCAGATGAGAAAAAGAGAGAACGCAGGTCGGAGAAGCAGAGCCTCACACACACCTAAGCGTGTGTGGCAGGAAAGCTGCGGATACAAGCGTGAGAGAAGCTCAGATACAGGCAGAAGGCTTGTGAGCATCTGGAGAGGGAATGGGGCTGGCAGTTGTAAGCTGCCTGCTGAGCCCCAGGAGAACCCAAACACCTCGCCCTGCTGATAAAACTAAACCAAAATCAAGTATTGGGATGTAACTACTTTTGAAAAGAATGACCAGGTTCTGGAGAGACCTGGAGAAGGAGCAAGAACCTCTCTCTTCTTGGGAGTCTCTGATTGACTCAAATATAGGAGGGTTTGAGGACCCCAGTGTGGAGGAGGAAGAATGTTTCCCCCTGTGTTCAGACTTAGGAAACAACACCCTTGATTCCCAAGAATCTGCAGCCTACCACATTCACGTCTTTAGGGGTAAGAGGTGGGAGTAGAGTGGGGATGGCAGGCAGGACAGGAATCCGACAATCCTAGCCGAGGGGATCCTCTTACCCCTCCCCACAGGGGTGCGTGGTAGAACCAGAAGGATGTCTTGGGCAGGCATAGGCAGCCACAGCTTTCCAAGAAACTCCCAGCCTAGCCGCAGAGCCAAGGGAGAAGCTTGGGCTCAGACCTTCCTTCCTTCTAGCTTCTGGGTCCTCTGGACAGCAGGCTCTGGCCTGGCCCTGTCAGCATAAGAGCTGCAAAGAAGCAGGAATAGTAAACTAGGGTTGGGGAAGACAGAGTACGTCTGAGAAACAGGAGAAAAGGTTTTCAAAACCTGGGAAGGAGACTGTTTCCTTCTCCGTCGCTTCTTTCTTAAAACGATGTCTATTAGCGGAGAACCCTTCTGGCCTTTCACCAACACAAAACCGTAGCAACCAACCTTCTCCTTTCTGCTCTCTTAACGAAGGAGATTGCGACTGGAGACTCGGAACGCTAAACCACCCTCCCCTGGAAGGGATGGGGTTCAAGCCACGCAGGGGTTAACTTTTCTGAAAACACAAATTAACTTTTTCCTATCCTGCGTGGAAGGGGAGGGATATATTTATTTAATCACTGGGGGATGGGGTGGTCTCAATCCAAATGCTCCCTCCTCCCTCAAAGCACAGACGCCTCTTTCGCAGATCCTACGTAGGTGGAACGGGACGCGTTGTGTTGTTGGGGAAAGAGAGAGAGAAAGGAGAAGGAGAAGGAGGGAAAAAAAAAAGGTTGATAGGTTTGTGCGCGAGTCCCTCGTGCGGGCTGCGCTCCTCCTGGGTGCTATTTGACAATTCCTGCCTCTGCCATTGGTCAGTGTTGGATCAGATGGTTGTATTTCCTTCTGGCCCTCACTGGCACCTCGCCATCCCCCCTCAGCTAAAACCCAATCTCAGATATACTACTAATAGGCGCGGCGCTCGGACTATAAAACACAACAAATCATAAACCCGGCGGAGCTGCAGCGGCCGTGCGCGCCTCCCTCCCAATGAGTTCCTATTTCGTGAACTCCACCTTCCCCGTCACTCTGGCCAGCGGGCAGGAGTCCTTCCTGGGCCAGCTACCGCTCTACTCGTCGGGCTATGCGGACCCCCTGAGGCACTACCCCGCGCCCTATGGGCCCGGGCCGGGCCAGGACAAGGGCTTTGCCGCTTCCTCCTATTACCCGCCGGCGGGCGGCGGCTACGGCCGAGCGGCGCCCTGCGACTACGGGCCGGCGCCGGCCTTCTACCGCGAGAAGGAGTCGGCCTGCGCGCTCTCGGGCGCCGACGAGCCGCCCCCGTTCCACCCCGAGCCGCGGAAGTCGGACTGCGCGCAGGACAAGAGCGCGTTCGGAGAGACGGAGGAGCAGAAGTGCTCCACCCCGGTGTACCCGTGGATGCAGCGGATGAATTCGTGCAACAGTGAGTGAGGCTCCCCGCGGTCGCCGCGACCCCCGCGCGCCCCCGCCCCCGGGAAACAACTAGCGAGGCTCCCTCCACCCCCCCCCCCCGCCCCCGCAGCGCCCTTCTCCCACAGGGTGCTGGGTGGGCCTCTCGGCTGGGAGACGGGGGGAGATGGGCCGCCCGCCCCGGGTCTTCTGCTCTGTCCTCTCGCCCGCAGGAGTTGCAAAGTTTGCAAAGTCCCAGCTGCACTCTGAGCCGGGGGAGCCAGTGGGCTCTCCGGGAGCGTCAGGCCAGGGCTGGGATTCCGGGGCAGGGAAGGGGCAGGGACCACAGTCGCTGGCTTTGCTTTCCCTTGCGCCCCCAGCCCTGGTCGCGTCCCCCACCCAAAGACTGTTCCATTAAAAACCGAGTGCGTCATGGGAAGGGGGCGGCGTGACGCTGGCGAGGGAGAGTTGAGTCTGTCCCGGACTGGGTTTCCCTAGGGGTGGGGGAGGCTGGGAAGGATGAGGCACCAGGAAAGGGGTGGTAGTTAGAGGAGGGAGGGAGATTCAGGGGGAACAGACTGAGAGAGAAGTTGGGGGGGGTGAAGCAGGCGCCTGGGTCTCAGGTTGGATTATTTGTCGGCCTTAAGTCCCAAATTGATGTCCATTAGCGGGACAAGAAAGTGAGGAGCCGTTAATGCCCACTATGGATCGATCCACGTCATTACGGATTAAGGACCGGAATCTATCACAGGCTAGTGGGGGAGCTAGATAGATGGAAGGAGAGGGTGCGTGCGGCCAGGAAGAGACACACCTGGCCAGGACTGCCCCGGCCCTTCCTCCGGGGCTCAGGTGGGATTTTAAACTGCCCTTCCCATCCCCCACCAGGAGTCTAGACCCGAGACGCAGGCCTCGGAGACCCGAGGGAATCTGGAGGGGGCGCTGGAGGGGTGAGGCAGGGGGGCAGGGACCGCGGCATGTGGAGGGCATCCCGGGACAAGCTAGAATCTGCCAGGTTTGAGGGTCGAGCGGGGGAGGGGGTCTCCAGCCCCGTTGACCCCAGACCTCAGCATCTCCTCTCTGCTAACAGGTTCTTCCTTTGGGCCCAGCGGCCGCCGAGGCCGCCAGACCTACACCCGCTACCAGACGCTGGAGCTGGAGAAGGAGTTTCACTACAACCGCTACCTGACCCGGCGGCGGCGCATCGAGATCGCGCACGCCCTGTGCCTGACCGAGCGGCAGATCAAGATCTGGTTCCAGAACCGGCGCATGAAGTGGAAAAAGGAGAGCAAACTGCTCAGTGCGTCTCAGCTCAGTGCGGAGGAGGAGGAAGAAAAACCAGCGGAGTGAAGGCGCTGGAGGGGGGCGGGGGGACGCGAAGGCCGAGGCCGGTGGGGAGACGAGGTCTGCAGAGAGCCCCAAGAAGGCTCTGCGGGCGGGGGAAGCCGGGGCCTGCTCGCCAGCGCATGACAGGCGGCGCCCAGCCCTCTCCGGGACGCCCCCGCCCGCAGAGCTCTTGCCGGGTGCTTAGAGGCCGCGCCGCCCGAACCCACCCGTCACCCCGCGCCCCCTCCGTCTCCGCGGAGGATGAACCCGCCTCAGCCCGATCAGGCTCCACGGTGAGAACTGAGGACTGGACTCACTCGATGTTTCCTGGAAGCAGAGCAAATGCTCTTGTCCGTGTCGCGTCTCATTCCGTCCATGTCCCTCGTGCACGGTTCAATGGTAGATTCGCAGGCCCCTCAGCGGGGCCTCGAAGACTCCCTGGTCCCCAGACCTCTCTCCCACCCCTCCCTAAAGCCACTGGAAGGAGCACATACTACCTAGAAGTAAGAAGAGGAGCCTCAGAAGAAAACAAAGTTCTATTTTATTAATTTTCTATGTGTTGTGTTTGTAGTCTTGTCTTAGCTCTGGACGTGAAATACTTCGGTAATAATATTAATATTATTAATAATGATGATAATAATAATAATAAAGACGTAAAAACTCGCCGCTCACTCACCTCCGCTCCTCCCCCGCCTCTCCTGCCCCACACCCCCACCCTGTCTTCCCGGTGCCGGAAACTCCGCAGCAAAAGCTGGAGCCCAGCTCGGCCCCAGCGGGCCCGACACGACTCGGAAGTTACAGTTGAGATGAAAGGCTGGAGCCTCCCGCCCGGGCTCCAGCGGCGCGCCTCGCCGGTGCTGAGGCTGCCAACGGCCTCTCCCGGGGCAGACTTGGGGGGGAAGAAAGGGGCCGTTCCCCTCCATTCTCTAGCTTATCCTCGTTTGTGCGTGGCACGAGGGACACCACCGAGACCCCCCTGACCGGAGCCTCTGCGGAGACTAAGCCAGGCGGGTCTCGTGCCTCAGCAGCGCTTTTCTGGCCTCACGTTCGGGGATGCCCCTGGCCGTGGGCCTGCCCACATGGCCCGATCTCCGCCGTCCTGGGCCATCGGCTTGGGGCCTGTGGCTCTGGAGACTAAATCGGGCTACCGGTGTCTCTCCACCCGCAAGTGAAGGCTCCGGGCGCCCCTTCCTGCCTCAAGAGCTCAGCGAGGAGCAGGGGAATATGAAACCACCGGTAGGCGCCAGCGAAAGGGCACCACTTTCCCCTGCTCCTTGGAGACCTGAGGCCAGGAGGCCAGGTGATAAGCGGTGGTTTGGTCTCATCCCCTCCACCAAAACCGACCCATTCTCTCCCCACCCCCACCCAGGCGGCAATCTGCGGACACTGTTTGCTTCCTCCTCCCTCTCTCTCCTTTTTTATTTTTAAAGAAAATAGCTGCCTGGCAGAAGGGGCCCAGCTGCAGCGAACTCCCGCCGCCCAGCGCGCTCAGCAAGGCGCCGCTGGTCCTTGGAACCCCTTCCCAGGGCTGGGCACATTCTAAAACTACCCCGAACACCAGTGAGGGGCCTCGAGTGGGGCCTCTCAGTGCAATAGCAGGGTCTGGTGAGGAGGCGTGAAAGGGTTCTGCCTTGATCTAAACTCTCAGAATCAGCTTCCAGCGTTTTTTTCCCCTGGCAACTAGGCCCGGAGCTCCTCCTCTGAGGTCCTTGTCTTGCTCTGTCATTTCCTGGACCTGCCTAAGGATACGGAGGAGGTCAGGAAGAGGGGTCCAAACTTCTAAGGGGCCCAGGAGAAGTGAAAGCTTCTCCTTCCAACCCTTGCCCAGCCCTTTCGGCTAAGCCCGTAAGCTAAGGACAAGTCACTGCAGCGGGGTCAGGAAGCAGGCCAGGCCAAGCTACCGGGAAACCCACTGCAATAATTGCTTTTCACACACATCTTCCAACCACCCCCTGCCCCCATTTCCACCCCCAAGTTGGAGATATGCTAAACCTGGGTAAGGGAAAAGCAACTCAATCTTTGATCATCTACCAGAGTTAAAATAACAATGATGATGATGATGATAAGTGCAAGGAGGACACAAATAGAGACACTAACGCCACGTCTACGAAAGCGAGGAAAGGTTCAGTTGCATCCCTCCTTTAAAAGACTCAACCCGACGGATGAGCCTAGGCCAGGTTTCTCTCTCCCAGGGCGGTTGCAGGGAGCCAGCAGGGAGGCAGCGGTCGCCGCCATGGCGGTCTGTGGCCCGCGCTCCCGCCGATCGCCGGAAGGTGGCGCGCTCTGCTCAGAGGCCGCCGCCAACCTTCTCCCGTTTCTCCCCCTTCTCCCGTTTTCCCCCTCTCTCGGAGGCTCGCATTGAATCGGCCCTAACGATTCTCGGATCGTCATTATTTGTAACCATAGAGCATGAATTACCTCTTGAGGTCATCAGCGAGAATTTACGACTGGTCAACAAAAGCACGTGATTCCCTAACGCCCCCCCATCCCCCTTCCAACCCCCCCCCATATTTGGCCGCATACATAGCAAAACGAAGTACAGTGCATCGCTATAATTCATTAATACATCATAAATCGTGAAGCACAGGGTTATAACGACCACGATCCACAAATCAAGCCCTCCAAAATCACCCAAATGAGCTCGTACTTTGTAAACTCCTTCTCGGGGCGTTATCCAAATGGCCCGGACTATCAGTTGCTAAATTATGGCAGTGGCAGCTCTCTGAGCGGCTCTTACAGGGATCCCGCTGCCATGCACACCGGCTCTTACGGCTACAATTACAATGGGATGGACCTCAGCGTCAACCGCTCCTCGGCCTCCTCCAGCCACTTTGGGGCGGTGGGCGAGAGCTCGCGCGCCTTCCCCGCGCCCGCCCAGGAGCCCCGCTTCAGGCAAGCGGCGTCGAGCTGCTCCCTGTCCTCGCCCGAGTCCCTGCCCTGCACCAACGGCGACAGCCACGGCGCCAAACCCTCTGCTTCGTCCCCCTCCGACCAGGCGACCCCGGCCAGCTCCAGCGCCAATTTCACCGAAATAGACGAGGCCAGCGCGTCCTCGGAGCCTGAGGAAGCAGCGAGCCAGCTAAGCAGCCCGAGTCTAGCTCGGGCGCAGCCAGAGCCCATGGCCACCTCCACAGCCGCGCCCGAGGGGCAGACTCCGCAAATATTCCCCTGGATGAGGAAGCTGCACATCAGCCATGGTAATTCTCGCTCTCTTTTTTGTCTTCTCGGCTTTCCTTCTCTGCGTTTGGGGGGTTGGGGGGGGGCAGGCGAGCTTGGCTTTTCCTCAAATATAGATTTTTTTTTTCCAGAGGGGCAGAAGTCACGAAGCGGGGTCTCACTACTGGGGGACAGAGCCACCGTGCTCTTTAGCTGGGGGGTGGAGAGGAGTATTTTTCATAATTTGTTCCTATGTTCGGTTTGGGTTTTATTCTCTCAGCTGTGCTAGCTTTAGGGTGCAGGATGGGGTTTCTGTCATGTGGGGAAGGGTCCTGCTAACCCCCCGAAAATCTGAGACAGCCGCTAGCGAGGGAGGGGCGAGCAGGAAAACGGGCTTTCCAGGGCAAAAGTGCAGGCGCTCCCCTCCCTCCCGGGGCGAGCGGCCGCCTGAGCCCAGCGAAGGGTGAGGCTCACGGAGGGAGCAAGAGACAAAGCCGGGCGCCCTCGCTGCCGGCAGAAGTGGGGGCTGCAGAGATGGGGGGCGGGAAGGGCGCTCCGACGAGGGCAACTGGAGTGGGGAGGATGGGCGCTGTGGCGAGCGGGGTGCCGGGGACGCCTGGGTCCTGCTCCACGCCCCCTCCCACCCAGGGCCCCCTCCCTTAACCGGAATAACGTTGCCTGGGGCGCTGCTCTGTCTGCTCCAGATATGACGGGGCCGGATGGGAAAAGGGCCCGGACCGCCTACACCCGCTACCAGACCCTGGAGCTGGAGAAGGAGTTCCACTTCAACCGCTACCTGACCCGGCGGCGGCGCATCGAGATCGCCCACGCGCTCTGCCTGTCCGAGCGCCAGATCAAGATCTGGTTCCAGAACCGGCGCATGAAGTGGAAGAAAGACAACAAACTGAAAAGTATGAGCCTGGCGACAGCCGGCAGCGCCTTCCAGCCCTGAGCCCGCCGGGAGGAGCCCTGGGCGGCCCGAGAGCCCCTCCCGCCCCCAGTCCCGGCCCCTCCAGCCTCCCCGCGCTGCCGCCGCCCGCTGGGGACCGGGTCCCACGAGCCTGCCTCACCCCGGCCTTGTGTTACGTTTTTTCGTTTGGTCTTAGGTCTTCCTGTGGCTCCCTCTCTCCTGGACTGGTTAATCTTGTTATTATTGTTAATAATAATATGATAATTATTATTTCCCCCTCCATGCGCCCCTCCGCTCGCCCCAAATCCACCAGTGTTTCTGAATGATGGTGTCTGTGGTTGCCCTCCTTCCCCACGGGAAAAGAAAAAAAGAAACTCGCATGTTTAATGTGAACTTCCCCTTCCCCATCTATGTTCTTCTAACTTATTTATAAAGGATGATCGCTGTGTCTTGAGTTTCAGCTTGAAACTTCTCTAAGGGGCAGCAGCTGAGGTGGGGTCGTGCGTAGCACCGGGGGCCCAGCTGAGCTGGCCTCAAAGATGGAGTCCATGACTGTGTCTCTTTCCACCCTCCTCCCGCCCCACACCCCAGGTCCAAGTCTCTCGGTGGCTTGGTCCTGGGGTGGGAAGAGGCCAGGGAGGACCAAAGGGGTGATGTTGAGAAGAGGGAAGGAAAATAGTGAGATTTAAGTTCCTGCCGCCTAGGTAGGCCCCACAAGGCCTGGTCTGGGAGTATCCGGAAACAAAAATAATCCTCAGTGTAAAATGTCTGTGTACTTCTCTGTGAATCCATGGGTCTGGCGTGGAGGGCCCAAACAAAGCTTGTAAATATGGGGATAGTCTGGGTCAGACCCACCCCCTCCCCCTACCCATTTCGCTTCCAAGACCATTTGTGGTGAGCGAGTGGATGCTGTGCTGTGTGTGAAATCTGTCTTTGCCGGGCCTGTCTCAGTGATTCGCTTTTGGTATTTGTTTGTAGCTTTCCTTGAAGTCAAATAAATGTTTCCCCTATTCCACCGCCCTTCCACTTGTCTTTTCTCTGAGGGCCTGCCTCTCCCATCACCGGGCACACCCTAGACCATTCCTGATAGATCTGGTACAGGGAAAGGGAGGCAAGATGCTCACCATCAGTCCCTCTCAGCCACCTAGGTCCATCCCTGGCTTGGCCAGCAGTGCTTGGGCCAGGGGACAAGCTTCTATTCCATACCTGAGGAACTGAGAGGCCCAGAAACCCCAAGTGGGGCTGGGACAAGGGAAAGGCTGAGCTGGACTCCATCCTGGCCTTCTATCAACTGGCCAGAAAAGCTTATGGAAGCCTCTTCAGGAAAAGTACTTTGGGCCCAAATCCTGAGCAAGGAGACTCCTGGCCTTTTGGGAGTGATACAGGCCTGCCCAGCCCCATGTCCCTTGCTCCAAATCCCAATTCAGTCCTGTCATCCACTGAGTCCAAAAAGGAAAAAAAAAAGAATCACCTCAATTTCAAAGGTTTTCTCTCCCCTCAGCCTTCTCTACATTTATCAAGGGTTCCCTCTCTCCAGGGGCCCAACTGACCTTCCCTCTTGATTAGGAGTTGGGGTCCCTCCTGGAAGACCCCCGGGTTCCCCCTGCAGTCAGGCTGGCCCAGGGCCAGGGCCCAGTCCTCCTCCATCCAAGTCAGCCTCCACCCTGAGCGCAAGAGTCATGTCTGGACACTTACCCGGTCAATCCCTTCCAGCTTGG